CCTGAGCCCGCTCATTCATTTCAACACTTCGCCTTGTGGCCGCAATTATTATCGAGTTCGGAAAATTTATACGCCAAACTCCACACCAGTCGTAGCATGCGACGTTTCTTGTGCCACGCAGCCAAACCGTATGATATACGGGCGAAATATCGTGGGTTTTTCGTCTTTTTGTTGGTTACAAGACACTTGTCCTGCATTCATAAGTGTGGAATCGGGTGTGAATCTGCTATCTTTGTAGGGAAGGGGATAAATAAGAGCAAAATAGTATTGGTTGCTCCTCAAGAATTTCGTTCCAAAAAGTAGTTGCGCTTCGAGGAATTAGCAAAAAGGCATCTGGATGTATAGGAAGTAATGTTTTTAATTCCTGATTTCCGTCGGTCTGTCTGTCGAGCTGTATGTCTGCCTGTCTGCCAGTCTGTAAGTCTGCCAAATGTACGAGAAAGTCAATGATGTGTGGAAAAACGAAGTTGGCATAGTGGTTTTGCGTGAAAATTTCATCCAAATTCGAAGAGCATTTTCCAAAAAACATATCTCAATTTTTGAAATTTTTCGCGGTTACAATATTTCCTCGGAAGTAAAAATCACACATAATATAAATTTATTTGCTTTTGGTATGTTCCGGCAGTGTAACGGTAAATTCATTACAAATTCAATTCGGCACTCAAAATTCTATTTCAGCGTTTTGATTTATAATTTAATTATTGCTCGCTCTCGTGAGGGGTGGGGGGATTTAAATTCAATATAGCTAATTCAATTTTGGCCGTCCAACACAAGCGGATCCCTTATTGCGATATAAATTTTGTTTAGCTAACGTCCAAGCTACGCGCTGGTCAGCGCAAAATGAAGATATAATACGCGATACTTCACACCGAAATTCCGAACCTATATGTAAATCTTTTGTGCTTCATTTTAGCCATCATACAGGATGTCCCATTATATTCTCCTCACTTAAAACTGGGCACACTTGAAACGATGGATCTAACAAAAGTTGTAGAGATTTGAGCGGATAAGAACGATGACTTCAAAGTGAACTTGACTACGATCTTCACGTCAGGTAAATATTTTCAAACAAAATCCCTTTTTAAGTCGGAATTTAAAAGATGAAGAAGTTAGACGTCCAAATAGCACCCTGATCATGACCTTGAGCACGGATTTCATTTGAACGTCAAATCAAATCGCAAGCAACTTTTTCTAGTACGAGCCCCTTCCCACTTCAGTTGGCCCACTTCAAGATTTGTACCACAATATGCCTTTATAAACTAAACATGACGAAACTATTTACTTCTAAAACAATTTATTTTCTCAAAAATATTTTAGATACACTCTAGTCGTAAAAAATACATATTTGAAATCACTTAGACCTATAACTAATAGAACATCTGAACAAATAAACAATGTGCGAATAGATGCGCGAAGTTAACCAAGCAACAATTGAAAGATTGACATTGGGTAACATCACCTTTATTTTTTATTACGGCTGAAATTCTTTGGGGCATAGTGTTAACCAAGTTTTGGCAAAAATTTGGTGTAAAACAATCCCATATTTCTTGAAGCTTATGTCCCAGTTGGGTGATTGTACGAGCAGGATGTTGTCGTAGAACCTTTTTCATCTCGTGCCACAAAGTTTCAATAGGTGACAGATCTGGACTGCTAGAAACCCATTTCAAAAGTGGTACATTATTTTCTTAAATCCATTTTATAGCCTTTTTTGAGGTATGGCACGCTGCACCATCTTGCTGAAAGACAAAATCTTGGCCGGATGTTAAACATTCTTCCATCACTGGTAAAAACGATTCTTCTAAAATTGCCAAATATTTGTTTCTATCCACATTTCCATCAATAAAATGAAGTTTCCCTACTCCTTTTAATGACATACTGCCCCAGATCATAATGGATGCTGGAAATTTCACTTTTCTCTTCAGATAGTCAACATGGAATGCTTCATTTTTTTTGCGAATAACTCTACTGCGACTGACACCAACACAAACTTCGAATCGGGCCTGATCACTCCATTGTATTGCACACCATTGTTGAGGTGTCCATTGTCTATGTTCTTTATCCCATCTAAGCCAATTTTTCTTTTGCAGTGGAGTTAATAGTAGCTTTCCTTTGACCTATAAACAAGTTGTGCAACTTTAGGGTTTTTGCGTCACTTTTTTTATAAGAAAACTTACCTTGCAAGTGCTAAATCCCAGTTTGTGGGCCTCTCTATGAGTTGTGGACCTCCAAATTCTCCTTCCAACAGCGTCACTCCACAGAGCACTTAATTGTAAATAATTGGCACGCCTGTTTTTCACGATTATTCTTCTTAATGCTCTTCGGTCGGCATTTGTGATATTACTTTTTTTCACATATCGTGGCTTAATATTAACTGAACGAGTTACGTTATATCTTCTAACAATATTTCTTACACAGTACCGCGATAAATCTAACAAAGTTGCAATTTCTGAGTTTGATTTCCCAGAATTAAAAAATTTAATTATCAGTAACCAAATTTTCTCACTAATAGCCTTTCCTCTACCCATTTTGAAAACCTTAACTACCCAAAACTATTTTGAACGTACTCTGACAGCTGTGATTAATAAAAACAATTGTCATGGCTTTTATTCTTCACAGCCACCTATGCGTTATAGACTTATTTTGTATTGAAATGAAAAGATTGATATGCTGTAATTGCAACATGTGTTATTTTTATGCTGCAAATTTGATTAAGGAGCGATAGAGTTGGCGTTTTCTACTATATATCATCAAAATATTCATTGTTAATATTTTAAACCTATAACACCCTGCTACATTTTTATTATTTGTGTTTGATAGGAAAAAAACTAAGATTTCAATAGTTGAGCCAACTGAAGTGGGAAGGGGCTCGTACATTTATGTTCGACAGCACAGTTGTGAGGTTTGTGGGGTTACCCAAAGTTAACCTTCACGGTCACGTAAACATTTCCAAAGGGAACATCTCTTTTTCACATTGGAAATGGAAAAGAGCAGTCTGTTTTCTAGAGGCTGGCGAGGCAGATTGAAGGGAATTTTCACCGCTCACTCACCAGGATGGAACGATTGTAACCAAATCAAAGATCCTTGCGGTCAACTGAATCATGGACGTCCCCACAACTCATGAGGGCAGACGATTCGTACACTATACGAGAAGTAACCTTTAGGCATAAAACGGTAAGACCGACATCCACAAAACTTCTGGTCCAGACTTGATTTGTTGTTCTGAAGAGATGTGCAGCAGAGGTTGCTACAATTCTTCTTCCAGATATCTTATGAATCCGGCACTGTTCCAGAAAACTCAAAATTGACTCATATCCAGCCAATCCAAATAAAAGAATCTAAGAGCGACCCTTACAACTAGAAGCCGATAGCTCTGCTGACTGTTATAAGTAAGTTTTCCAGCACCAGCGATACACGGGAAACCTCCTAGCAACTGTGGAGTAAAATCACAAGGCTCATGCCGCTGCTCTTGATATTACGAAAGTGTTCGTTCAGCTGTGAGATGCTGACCTCTTATACAAACCCCATTTTATGGCCCCCAGAGAAGCTATACAGCTGGGTGACTGCTTATGTTCCCAAAACACAGTACTGCACCTTGACCGGAAACGCCGTAGCGCTCATCCGGTTTAACTAAGGATGGCCAAGTTACAACAAAAAGTGGTTCGTTTTGGCCGCTTTGAGTTCAGATCACCGAGGACCAACTAACTACTGCTAACTTAGAGTCCATGGTAAGAGATGCCAACACAAGCTTAGCTGATGCAGAGCAAGATTTCAGTAATAACGGCCTGGTCTTAGACAATAAGAAAATAATGATAGATCGATTAAACATGCAAAAACTATAATAGTTTTAGAAATTCGTATATCACAAAACTTTAAATGGGATACACATATAGAGGAAGTTAGCTTACCCCACTCTGATATTGCATGTACCAGCTGAGTTGTTGTTAGGTGGATATTGTCAATGCCATATCCATCACGCTCTGACTTATGAAATAGAAGCATAGGGAGCATCCTTTAAGTTACAAAAACTTTTTTCAATACAAAAAAGAGCTATCCGAACTATTGCAAAGGTGGGAAGGCGCTTTAGTTGCAGGGAATTATTCACATCTTTGATATTACATCTACAGGACATGTCGCTCAAGATACAAATACTTATCAACCTTTTACTTCTTCTTGCAGGATATCCTCGCGAGTATAAGGTAATCATTTCAGGGTCTGTGCCGTCGGCTTGACCCTGGTGAGATTACGTCCCCATTCCCTACCCTAATGTATGCCCCTGTGCCCCTCCCTCTACTCCTATTCTACGTCGGCTAGCCCTTCTGCGCAGTCGCGGCCCAGCGTTTGCCTTCCGTTGTAACGCCACGAATGCCGCGATGCAGGAGGATCCTCAGTACGCTTTATTCCGCGCTAGTGTATGCTCCTATTCTGTACATATTCTTCGCGAGAGTGAATACAGTGCATTATGGTATGATGGTAAGTCCCCTTTGTTTTGATTTCATTCCCTCTACTCGAAATCATTAATGCCTAAACGGCATGTGAAGTTGTTTTGTTATTTACCTAGCAGACCGACATGTTGTTTGAGTTCATTACTTCAGACATCCTTTATGATTCAGAAACATCAATTTTATTGTTGTGAAGTGACTTGCACCCCCGCTCAATCACTTACATTACCGAGGGTAGTTCGCACCAAGCAGCTATGTACCTCCTTGTAGTTCCTTCTTGCTATATCAGCAATTTCGGCTCGTTATACGTAACCGTCGGCCTCGACTTTCGAGCCGTCGGCTCAACTAGCTTGAATCAGTCGTCGGCTGGATTCGTGGACCCGACGACTGGAATTACGGAGACGTCGGCCCGATTCTGAGCGGTCGGGTCACTTAACAGGCCGTCGGATTGTTTCGTCGAGCCGTCGGCTCATTTTTGGGCCGACTGATCAAGTTATTAGCTATCACTTCAGAATACCTTGGCTGTAGAGATTCTAACGGGTTGCTGTTTCTTGTCTGCAGGCAGCTCCAGGACCGTCCACTATGACTCTGGGCCAGTTAGCGGATCCGTCGCCAGAAGATCATGGAGACTCGCGGATCCTCAACCGCATTAAACTACTGGCATCGCAACACCTTCCGGATGGTTGGAAGAACTGGAAGGTGGCCATTACAGAAAGAACATCTCTATTTGAGGATCCAATGGATCCTGAGCTGATCAATAAGTTGAGATTTGCCCTTCCAACGGTCGGACTAGCACAAGCATTTATCCCGGATTGTAAGAACCTATCGGAGAAAACATATCGGGAAATGAAGGTCCGGATGCTGAATTGGCCTTTTTTGTGTCGGTCTGGTTATTGGTCCTCCAGCCTTGGCGTGTCGAATAAGGGGATCTGCAGTTCATCACGAGCTAGTAATGAGCTCTCTGGACTCACTTCGGCCATTGTTCATCTCAAGAAAAGAAGCGGCTCGGAGATTGGCAGCAGATTCTTCGGAGGGCGAGAGTTCATCAACGGGTGCTTCTGATCCGAGGCCAAGAAAGATGAGTCGAATGGATAAATTGGAAAGGAGCCAGGAGGAACTAAAGATATTAGTTCAGAATGTTTTGGAGAAGATCGAACAACGTTCCGACCAAGGCACGTCTATCCAAGATGTTAGGTATTCAGATGAGGAATCGGATTTGGATGATCAAGAAAATATTGCTCCATCTTTAGACCTAGGCTTCAGTGCACCAAATGAGACGGATATACTAGAAAGTCCCATAGATCACTTGGACTTCAGTTTTGTTCCGGTAACCAAGGAGCAAGAGCCTCTAGTCCCTAAAGCGGACGCACATATTGAAGCCCAGGGGGTGAACTGCTTGCGGCTAGGGCAGGCTTCTTTCAATAAAATCCGTTATGTTGATGCACAGAAGAAACTGCAGGCCTCGCCTGTTTTTAGCGCCTTAAAAGTCAACCCGCAACTTTCCAGAAATAAAGGAACGCCTGATATGTTAGCATCTATGGATGCTACTTTAGGCACTATTTTGCATGGCTTACTTTTACAACGAGAAGCCTTTTCGCATTCAGTAATGGCCTTAGCCCCAAAGTATCCGGAACTGGGGAAGGATATCCGGGAGGAGTTCTGGGATCCTGATGGCGACTTTAAGGTCACATCAGATGCTTTGGTGCAATATGTGTGCGGTAAGCGCGCAGAAGTAATTGAAAAGAGAAGAAAGGCACTGCGGCCGCTCAATACACATGTAGGGGCGCTTATGGATGCAATTCCGCCCTCGAAGACTCATCTGTTCGAGGGAGAAGCATTTACCGACCTGATAAAACAATTTGGGCAGTTTTTTCGGGCCTCGAGGCCAAGATTTGAATCTCAAAACAGAGATGCAAGCTCCTTTCGTTCGCATTTGGCCACGCGAAAGATGCCACAGTCTACAATGGCAGGATCAAGCCAGCCGAGGTCATACACGAAAGATGCTGAGAAGAACCGATATAAGAAAGGAACCAGAAAACGCAGTTATTCCGTTTCAGCAGGATCATCGAACCCACACTCCACCCCCGTTCGTTGCAAGAAGCGCTGACAAAGATCAGTTCAGAGCAGGTCGCTTAAAGTATTATGCAAACCAGTGGCAAAAGGAAGGGGCGCCCAATTCTATTCTTCAAATAATCAGAGGTTATTCAATCCCTTTCATCCGAAAACCTCCATTATTCCACTTCTCAACCAGACACAGTTTTTCAACACCTCGTATGGAATCAGAGGTAGCGCAAATGCTAGAATGGGGTGTACTGGAAAGATCCCACTACTCGACGGGCTTCACTTCAAAGATGTTCACAGTTCCAAAAGCAGATGGTACCAAGCGACCAATTTTCAACTTAAAAGCTCTGAACGAATTTCTGCATCCAAACAAGTTTCACCTAATCAACCATTTAAAAGTCCCAGCCTTCCTACAAAAAGGGGACTTCATGGTCAAAATCGACATTGCGCAAGCATATTTCCACATCCCAATAAAGGAAAGATATCGAAGATTCCTCTCAGTGTTGCATCAGGGAATGCTATATCAAATGACCTGCCTGCCATTTGGTCTGTCGAGCGCCCCTTCAACCTTTGCCAAGGTGTCAAATTGGCTAGCGAGCAGGTTGCGAGTCAGAGGGATACGTGTAATCGTATATCTGGACGATTTTCTGTTGGCGCATCAGTGCCCACTCATCCTGAAAAAACAGGTTTCAGAAGTAATGTTTTTTCTAGAGGCATTGGGATGGATTATAAACAGAGAGAAATGTATGTTGGAACCATGTACAACAGTGGAGTATCTAGGCATAAGGTGGGACACGGTAGGAAACACAATATCCCTTCCAAAGAAGAAACAAAAATGTATTCAGAAGACTTTGACTTGGGTTCAAACTCATCAACGATGGAACTGGCGCCAAGCTACAAGTCTCATCGGAAGGTTGAACTTCGCCAGCTTCGCGATCCCCTTAGGCAGGCTTCACGTTCGGGGGATGCAGAGAGCGTGCCTTCTCCTATCCGAATCAACGCCGAGGAAATATCTTCGAGCTCCCCCAGCTGTGTTATCAGCTTGTCAATGGTGGATCCAAAACCTTCACAAGGTGTCGCCAATTTTCCACCAAAACGCAACGATTTTCCTAACAACGGATGCATCGGACATAGGTTGGGGAGCAGTCTTAGAAAACGAAGCCTTAAAGGGATCCTGGTCCCACTATCAGAAGAATTGGCATATAAATGTCAGGGAAATGTTCGCTGTGTATGCTGCCATTCGACAGCGGAGTGGTCGACTGATTGGGAAGTCGATTCTTCTACAGTCAGACAACAAAACTGTGATAGCATACATAAGGAAGCAAGGCGGTACAAAGTCAAAGATGTTACTGGATGTTACCGTAAAGCTGCTGACCCTTTGCAGTCGTCTGGATATCACTCTGACAGCCCACTTTATCCCAGGCATATGCAACGACGTAGCAGACAGCCTGTCTCGCAACAAGGCCCCTCCCGATTGGCATCTGTCTATCGAGTTGACCAATCAGATTTTCCACCGTTTCGGAACCCCGGAAATCGACCTCTTTGCTTCAAAACAGTCGAAGGTGGTACCAGCTTATGCGTCGATGGACGTACGGGACAAACAGGCGGTTTTTGTAAACGCCTTCAGCAAGAGGTGGACTTATTCCCTGGCATATGTATTTCCGCCTCCAGCACTAATCCCCCGAGTCCTCCATCACCTAAACTCAGCGAAGGGAAGATACATTCTGATCACCCCCAATTGGGACAAGGTGTTTTGGAAACCGGATCTAATATCTCGGGTGATAGAGCCGCCTTTCAAGCTACCGGATCTGAACCTCCACTTGACAGATGCGTTGACCGGGCAGCCATTGAGCCAGGCTCGAGATCTTCGTTTGGTGGCATGGTTGGTACAGGGTGGGCTGCACTCGTACGAGGATGGTGTGAAGAAGATATTCAGCTGTTAGAAACTTCTTGGCGTGGTTCCACTTGGAAGACATACCGTTCTTCGTGGCTTGAATGGCTGAGATGGGCTAAGAGTAGGGAGATGTCACCTACCAATCCAGAGCCCTCAGGGGTAGCACAATATTTGGCGTATCTCTTTCGTGTTAGAAAGCTGTCTCCCGCCACTGTGAAGTTACACAAGTCCGTGATATCGTCGCTGGCCAATCCCCAGTTAGGAAGTCATCTCACGTCTCATCCTGTAGTCAAGCACATACTAAAGGCAATAGACATCAGTAAACCTATCCCTGGAAAGAAGTTCGTGTGGGATGTGTCCGATTTGATATCTTGGATGAAAGCCGATCAAGTGGACGAGGCTAGCTTATTCCAAGTCTCTCGACGGTTAGCATTGATCCTGCTATTGGCCTCTGGACGAAGAGTGCATGACTTGACTCTATTAAGGATGAATCCTGATAGGTTATTAATGGAAAGCAAGTGTGTAACGTTTTGGCCGGAGTTTGGATCCAAAACAGATAAGAGTAATTATAGGCAGTCGGGGTGGAAACTGCTCCAAAACGACGATACGAGCTTGGACCCCGTTTATTGGACGAAACGTTTTTTATCTGTTTCTGCGCATAGAAGGGCAGCAAAATCCCTGGATTCACCCTTTATCACTTGCCGGGCCCAGGTACGGCCTGCTTCAAGAGCTATCATAGCTGGATGGGTAAAGACAGCATTGGTTGGGGCAAATATTTTCACTTCGCCTGACAGTATCAGAGCTGCGGTAGCATCGTCAAGATGGGAAGGTGAGCTTCCGTTAGACACCATTCTAAAAAACGGCAACTGGAAGGGTCAAGAGACCTTTTTTCAAGCACTACTTTAAGGAAGTAAAACGTGTGTCTTGTCAGAGACCTCTTCATAGTATTTGTAAGGAAACATTTGTTCCTATTTAGCAGAGTACCTGTTATTTTAAATAATGGTTTAGTTCATTTGTTTTTTGTATTCTTATGCTGTTCAATAAATGTTTGAGTTGTGTTAGAGCTGTGTTCTTTTACATATGCATACACACACGCGCAGACTTCTTTCTTAAGATGCAAAGTACCTGATAATATTTCTTTTTATGGAATCACAGTACGCTTTTCTACGTCGTCAGATACCAAACACTTCTCACCAGGGTCAAGCCGACGGCACAGACCCTGAAATATAACTCGTTTTTCCCCCGAAGGGTAGAAAACGATTATTTCAGGTCTTGCCTAGGCTTGACCCCAATAAGTCCTTGACGACTATTATGAGGTACTGAGGATCCTCCTGCATCGCGGCATTCGTGGCGTTACAACGGAAGGCAAACGCTGGGCCGCGACTGCGCAGAAGGGCTAGCCGACGTAGAATAGGAGTAGAGGGAGGGGCACAGGGGCATACATTAGGGTAGGGAATGGGGACGTAATCTCACCAGGGTCAAGCCTAGGCAAGACCTGAAATAATCGTTTTCTACCCTTCGGGGGAAAAACGAGTTATATTATGAATATGAGAACAAGGATATTCTTATACTTCTACCTTTTTCTCCGAAGCAAGACCTTATACTTTTACTTTATGCTTCCGAGGATATGCTTCTCTTTTATGAATAATAATAATAATAATAATAATAATATTTATTTACTCTAAAATACAGGGAACATGAAACGAGTAAATAAATATAATATATCCATAGGAGGACAACGCCTGTGCATGGATCATATGTATGTTGAATTGCAAAATATAATAAAATAGAGAGAAAAAAGAAATTATTGGTAAGAATGGTAGAGCATTTATTGTGTAATATTTGAGATTATTTTATTAATTTGATTTCTTCCAATCGTGTTAATAAATTTTTTTAATTTTTTTTTGAAGCCTAATGTATTGCGTAATTGTTTTAAATTATTTGGTAAATGTTCGTACAATTTTGGAGCTATATACAGGTGACATCGTTTCATTAGGGATTTGTTTGGTTTAGGAACATTTTTTGCGCGTAATTTATATCTGGTTTTGTGATTATGTTTAATTATGTCGTGTTCACTAATAGTTTTGTGATAATGAGTGACGGTATGTAAGAAGTAAAGTTGTTTAGTATCATATACTTGTGCATCATTATATAAGTCATTAGTTGGGTATAATTTTGATTTGCCTAACATTGATTTTAAAATTCTTCTTTGAAGTACATCTAAATCGTTAAAGTATGTCGTGCATGCAGCACCCCACACTACTATACCATATGTTATGTGTGGCTCGACTAAAGCCTGATATATTATTCGTAGATAATATTCAGTTAATATACCGGTGAGAAATTTTATTTTATATGCTATGAATCTAATTTTCTTTAGTATGTGAGAAATATGTACATCCCATCTCAAGTGGGGATATAGATAAATTCCTAAATATTTTGTATCATTAACTCTATTGATTTTTATATTTTTATCATTTACCTTAAACCGAAGGTGGTTATATTTTGGTAGATGATTAGATAGTGATGAAAATGGTAAAAAATGAGTTTTAGTAAAGTTAATTGTTAATTTTCGGTTATTAAACCACTGAATAATTTTGCAAAAGTCATTTTGGATAATATCTTTTAAGACGTTCCAATCCTTACCTTTATAGAGTATAGCAGTATCGTCTGCAAAACTGACTATTTTACCAGTACTGTTAATTTTGAATATATCGTTTAAATAAATATTGAATAACAGAGGACCCAAAATTGTACCTTGTGGAACACCACATTTAACAAACATTTCTTTACTATACGAGCTTAATAATTTTACTGATTGCGGTCTATTTGATAAATAATTTTCCATTAAAGTATACATCTTTCCACGAAAACCTATTCTTTCTAAGATTTCCAAAAGTATATTGTGGTTAACTGTGTCAAACGCTTTTTGTAAGTCCACAAATACGCATATCGATGGTACTTTTCCATCTATATATTGGGTTATTTCATCTACTATACTTAATACCCCATTTGTTGTAGATTTGCCCGCTATAAAACCATATTGATTTGAATTTAGAATTTTGAATTTATTAAGAAAATTAATCATTTTATTAAGGAGTAATTTCTCAAAAACTTTAGCTAAACTTGATATAAGTGAAATAGGTCGATAGTTAGTGACGTCCGTATTATCATTAGATTTATAGATAGGTATGATGATTGCTGTCTTGAAAGCTGATGGAAATACTCCAGATTGGAAGGATTTGTTAATGATATATACGGCTCATTGTTTTATTTGTGCAATATACGAGCAAAATAGCTGTGATGGCAAGCCAAGTAATCCATATCTGCACTGATATATGCTAAAAGCTAGTCAGATTAAGTAGCTAGTCTTTGTCGTATCGTACCAGTACGCGATGATTTAATAAAAAAATTCGGCAGGCTTCCCTACCAAAGGTCAATGTGGACGATCGGAGATTATAAAGACATTTGACGAAGTTTTTTCTCTTAATATAACTACTTGGTTAAAATCTAAGTAAAACAATACATAAAGCATTGTGATCTTTTACAGACTGCTGCAGTTTTGCTCCTCATCTAATTTCGAAATCTCCATGGAATATAAAGATAAATATCTATTCATCTCCATTAACCGTTTAACAAGCCGCGCGGTTGAACAGCAACCAGCAAATTCAGCGCATTGTATTTTAATTTTCCTGAATAGGTAAATTCAACCGGGGTTTCCCTATTTCCCGGTTTCGGAATGAGATTTGTGACGATGGCGCGTGGTTTTACTAAAATGAACATGCACCGGTGGGGATGGTGAAAAAAACAACCCTAGTGACTACCCACACTGAACCGCGTGCGTGCTCTGATTAATTTGCGGTTGCAATTGTGAACTGTAAATACTACATGCAAAACCAAAGCTGCAGCTATACTATCCACCTTTAAAATCAGCTGGTGAGCTATCTTCTTTCAAAGCTTCGAGTTTTATGCCTACCAAATAGACCTGTCAGGCTTAGATATCGAGCACTTGCCGGTACGACCGCTGGCTTGTTCCTTCGGTATCGAATGTAGTCGAAAAATCTGATTGATTTTTGTCACACTGGGCCGACATCTGCCTACTATTACACTCCAGGCAAAAGATTACAAAACTGGAAACAGCCTATGTGGGTCTAAAGGTTAATGTGAAAAAGAACAAAGAGATGCGGATAAGTATATTCAACGAAGAACCTTTAATATTTTACAATGAGGCACCAGAAAAAGTCGACGTATTCGAATATCTAGACAGCATTGATAACAAAAATGCGATTGTTCAACAGCAATCTGAAATCGATCTTGCTATATGGGTGTGAAACATAGCCTAGTATGAAAGTAAAAATACCGAAACTTAAGTTTTCCTCAACAGTCGCAGGATTTTATAAACAGGCCAAGAACAATATCAAATGAAAGAGTGAATGCATGAAAAAACTGGAATTGAGATAATAAAAAGGAAGCGATGCTAGATAGGTTACATATCACGAAGAGGGACAGAAATAGAACATACAAGAGTCACAATAGAGGTACTATGTTACTCAATGGTATGACGGGACTAATAAAAAATATGTATAATAGTAATTGGCCAATTAAACAATCGGTTCAACAAAATATCTCTTTATAGCAGTCGCGGTACTTCAGTATACAAGCTCTGCCTTTTCGGCAATTTCAAAATATAATTAAAATCCATCTTACAGCATCTTTGAGCCTAACCGAACAGAATACCAAAAAAAGGTTCCAAGTAGACTGACTAAGCATGCGGAATATTTCTTACGTTAGACTGCTGCGCGTCTGGTTTGTAGCGGGTTATTAAGGCTCCTGTGGAAGTATGCCAAAGCTTCCACGTCTCCGAGTAGTCTGTAGTCTAGACCCAGGCTTCTCGAGATGATTGCGTCTAGGTAAATGAACCAATTCAAGGTTTTATCTGATCTGCCTCGACGCCTCTGGTCTAATCGATATAATACCATTAAAAGTCGGTATAACGTCAACTTCCGTACTAAGTAGTCTCTGCCCCCTTTTATCTACTCGCTATGAGCGCCACATGTAGAGGAATGGCACAACAACCGTCATCCCGACAATAGTATAGAATATACACCCTAGGCCGTAGAAGCTATGAATGACTCCCACTAGTCCCATCTATGAAGCAGATGTCACATCAAATCAGAGCTAAACCACATAGCTCACCTGTCATGACCTTCAGGAAACAGGTTTGCACTTTAATTTAGGCGTATAGGAGCTTCAAAAATAATGATCTTTAACAGAGCTTCTTAAAATTGAAAATAAACATGTTTGGAGTTTTTCAGACTGTAAACCACTCTTAACCCAAAACCGTTCAACTATGGAAAAGTACCTTTTTAGCTGACAGCGCCACTGAAGATGGCTGCCGCAGATGTAGCCGAAAGCTCTGGATCAAATCCAACCCGACCACGGCTCAACAGCCCGAAAAACCTAAATGACATTAGAATTAGACGTGAAAGCCTTCATTCCTCAATTATAAAATGCTTTGTCTGCGGCGAAAAAAAACAATGTTCAATGATTTGCTTAAAATAATGTTTAAACAAATTTGCACCGGGCTATCGTCTGACAGAGTATTTATCAACTTAAGGGGCATCCAAACGCGATAATGAAGAAATCCAGTCCGCTTTCGCATTGTGTATGGCACACACTACTTAAAACCGAAACTATGTAGATTGTACAAATTTTCTGTGCTGATCAGTATAAACGAATAGACTAAGGTAGGAAAATAATAACGATGCACACAGTGGTGGTTATTTGCAAGTTCGTACGTGAGGTGAATACAGAATACCCCTGGGGGCAATAATTGGAGTTTTGTCATATTTGGGGGTCCGGCGTT